TTTTTTCAAATTTAATTTTTGATCATATATCCATATTACCGTCTATCACAAAAACTAGCCTGTAAGTATCAATAATAGGTCTCTAAACATAGCCGATTAATATAAGAATTGCTCTGGCACAAAGTAGATCTGATCTCTTTTTCTACTGTTCAATTAAAATCTTCTAGATGTGTTGTTTTTTTTTCCTTGAGAATAAATATTGTGTGTGAATTCACCCTGAAATACACATAATTTCAACATTAAGTGAATACTAGTCATCACCTTGTGAAGCTATGATAGATAATACCTTTAGGCAGAAAACGTAACTTCCAATGTAACAAGATTTTGTTTCCCTTGCAGTTATACTTCAATTCACCTCCTCTGAGTAGTAGTAGAGTTATCATTGACCCAAAACAATAATTATCAACTTGCAATAAAATAAAATAAAATGAAATAAAATCAAGGTCCCAACAAGGCAACAACTTGTCCCATGTTTGTTTTCCAATACACTGCACATTTACAATCCTCAAAATCCGCACCAAGTTTAACTCCATAGGGTCCCCTAAACATTTTTTTCCCCATTTTTTCATCAGCACCTCGAGCCATGGAGAAATGTAAAAGCAGAAGCTAATAAAGGCATTTTGAGTAAAAGAAATTCAACACAGCGGCCTGCTCCTTTGATCTTAGTGTGGCTGATGATGTTCATAACTACTGCACGACGAGCGCACGAGATGGATCGAGCAGGAAGCTGAATCTGTGTCTGTACTATTTGTTACATGGTTTGGTTTTTATTGTTGTAATATTATTAATAAGGGTATTCTTAATTATCAAAGAATTTATTGTTATTATTGTTACTTACTCTTGTGCCCTGAGTTTGTTTGTGTTTGGTCTCTTTAATAATGTGTGTCCTGTGTCCTGCCTCGTGTGTTTGATCAATCAGATACCTATTTGAATTGTATATCATAAGCATTTGTGTGTGTGGTGTTTTTGTCTTTTGCTATGCTAAAAAGCTTGTCTATTAATTGTCTTTATTGTTTCCTGTTTAATGAAAAGACAACATATGATGGGCTGAAACTTAAGGAGGAGCATAGGCATGTGCCTGATAAATGCATAATAGAGGTAGTAATCGCTACTAAATTTGGTTGGCTTGGCTAGTGGTTAATAATAACTAAAGTCACATGGGGTTTAGTGGGTTAGGAGAATAACAAACTCTAGTTAGGGACGATTTTATACTTCCATTTATTTATTTATTCTATGACCATGGTCTTAGTTAGTCACCATGGTGTTGGAGAGGGTCTGGGTTGTCCGTGTCCAGATCTAGTCAGCTGTAGGTGTACTGGAGTTTCTGGATCTGGGACATGGGTCAGAGTTCTATCCGTGTGGGTGGTAGTCACCGGGCGTCGGTCCCAAAGCGATTTGCAAGCTGGTGTGGAGGGTGTTATTCTAGTTTACTTGGTGTTTAGTATTTTTGCTTAGAGTGTGTGTTTTGTTCCAGGGTTTACTCTCCATTTTTTGAGTTCAAATTTCAATTTACGGGAGCTTAGATTATTGTTTTCGTGGTTTGTGGGTGTGCTAGTATAGTAGTTTCTCTTTCTCTCTGAATTCTCTCTGAACTCAGCTTTTAGCTCCTTCAGTCGACCAATTAGTTGCTTGTAAATATAAATTTCTGAAATAGATCTTCTGTTAGGCTGCCTAATAGTGGTTAGACACCCACACTCTTTCATTGTACATATTTTCACACTAAAAGCATACTTTTAAATACAATATAAACCAAGAAATGGCTTTTCATTGTATGGGCATTTATTTTTTGTAAGAATGTACGGATGTCTAACATTTAGGCAGTGTGTCATGGAAAATATACGTGTAGTCAATCTTTTTCTGAATCAGCCCAAAGGCCACACTACACAAAATTATGTTACTCAAAGATGTAAATGGAAAACGAGATAGGAGAACCCATACGCCTTTTAAAGGCAAGAAAGACAGATTTATTGACCTTTAAGCAGATTTTAAACCTAGTAAACTGAACAAGAATTGGTCACAGGGTTAAACTTACAGAGTTACAAAAGCAAAGTCATTATTCAATTTCCATTATTGACAAATGAGGGTTTAAGCTTGTAAAGGGAACCTGTTCCTTCTGTTCTCCTTTGACTCACGGTGAGATGTCTACTGATTTGATTATCAAATCCGCGTTTTTACTTGACTTCATTATCAGCTCTGCATTGGGCCGGTCATTATAGTCTATCTGCAGCACGAATAAGTAAAAATATACTCACTTTAATACTTTGAGAAATTAGTTGTTGAAAAATAAAAAATGAAAAGAAAGATGATGGAAAATTTTACCCGCCATTTAGCAACATCAGGGGGTTTTCCTTCATAGTCGAGCAAAATCAGTGTTAGTTAATTTTTGTACACGTTCACAAACTAAATTATAAGCGCAAAGACTCATTCACCTGTCGATATGTGCCTTTTTAAAACCCGTTGCATTGCTTTGTCAATGTCGACATCAATGAACCTGGGATATGAATTACAATAAATGAAAAAAAAAAATGTTCGTCCAAGTTTACATCTATACTTAATCTTATAAACAATATTAACTGATAACGAATCTTAATTAAGTAAGATGTTCGCCTCATTCAACAAAAGACAAGCTCCCACATCAACATCATTTTGTACAAGTGTCAAGCAGCCACTACAAGTTACACTTCAACAACATTACTTCAGGAAGACCAGAATTAAATTTCTCCAAAGGCAATATTCGATTGATCAGTAATATATAATGGAAATTTCAAAGTGTAGGAAAATAAGCTTTTGCACCTGTGAGTGTAAAAAAAAAAAAATTGGCAGAACCATGCTAATAGAGAACTAGTACACATACTTTTCAGGACAAACTATTAGAAAATGTAAATTACCACTTCTCGTCAAATAAGGATGAGATATCCCTCCACACATCCTCATCCAAAAGCAAGTAGTTACCTTCAACTATCACTACTTTGTGCCTGCAGCAAGAGATAAAAAAGTAACAAACTACAAGATATATGGTTCTGCAGTCAGGTTTTAATCTGCTTGCATAAAAGCAGGAACTCCTGAAGTAAAATCCACAAAAGAATCACAAATAAGTTCAAACAATAATGATCCTTAGGCATAAAGCATAATTTTCACAATAATTTGGCCATTTGATGATTGGCGTTAATAACTCCTCTTTCCTTCTCATTTGCACATATCTGCAAGATATATTAATATACAGATAACAGATTATCATACTATGATATCATGCACTATTAGATATACCGGTCAGACATTTGTGGTATGAGTAACGCTACATGAACGTAGTAATAGGTACATAAAGGTGTACATACACTCACATGGGGTAGGGCCCGCTTAAATAAAATATTCAACTGGACCCAACCCATGTGAGAGTATGTAAACCTTTTACGTAGAAATTATTATGTCGAGTAGAATTATCCTTGTGGTATACTATCAATTTATTATACACTGGAAACACTAAATTCAAGTTGTGCTGCAGGCCTTATATACACATATATCCAGGAAACATACAGTGGTGGTGAATAAGCTTCTGCACTCATTTAAGCATAAGCCGCTCGATCAACTTTTCTTACTGTATGTATTTCATATTAATACCTATACCATAGAATGAGTTTGAAAGGTAAGAGCTAGAAAGAATCAGAAAGTCCATTACGAACAAGGCCACACTCCAGTATAAACAGCTTCTAAGGACATGTTTACCCATTTATCATAAATGCTGGGTTTCTCAATATTCACTTTACAGAAAGTAGCTCCACGCAAGTGTGATGTGTGCATATGTAAATTGATCCATACTGAAAAGGACAATAATTTTTCTAAGCACATATGGACCATTAATTCATTGAAAATATACAACTTACTGAAGGCTCACAAAGATATCATCTTCAACAGGGTCCCCCAAGCCATGGTCAAATGACGGGACATACACGGATCCCTTTTAGGAGAAAACAGAATAAATAGAAAATCAATTACAGCGGGAATAAGGGCCAATGCAAAGCCTTAAGTTATTCATTACTGTAGTACTCATCATGTTGAATGTTAGCATAGTAACTGAACGTAATCAAAGATGACCTCGTTTCTCAGATTCGTGAGACACGTCAACAGCCGTTCGGGATCAAATGTCCAAGGAGCTGAATCATGACAGAAAGATCAATACTCTCAAGCATATAAGCTTAAAAATAATCAAACTCAAGGAAAGGCCTCACATCCTCTTCTCGCGTGAGCTTCCTTTGGATCCTAATAATTAATGAAACAACATCAGACAATCAGAATTGCCAACAAATAGTAATGAGAATAACTCGCAAATTTTTCAAGGATAGAGCACTACACAGAAAAGAATTACTGAAAATACAAACAAATTAGAATGGTCATTAGTAAAGCAAACAGATTTTGCTAGTCAATATCTTCTTGTGTCATTACTTTATGATTAACATTAACCTTCATAGAGTCCAGCTGATGACGATAAAGATGGAATCCATCCATAGGGAGCACAATTGCAACCTCTGGAGACTCTACTAGAGAATCAAAGCAAGAGGATCTTTGGGCCCACAGCTTATTGACACGGGTAGTTACAGAAGATGCAAGGGTGCTCTTTCCAGCACCTGGAGGCCCACAAAGACCAACTATATGCCTGTATGCAGGATTTGAGTCAGTCTCCAACTTTCCATATAGTTTGGGACTTGGAAAAATCAAACTCGAACATCAGAACAAGGATAAGAATCAACGAATTGCTCTTAAATAAAGTTAGGTGATTACAAAAAATAGTTACACAGTAGTTAACACTTTTTTACGTGTGATGGAACAGGATGGAAAGCAGAAAATCTGATTAGTAGCTCAGTGCATTGGTTAGAACTCAAATACATAATTAAGTTCAATTTACAAAAGCCACACGTGTGGTAAGATTCCAAAACTCACTTAAAATTGGTATTCGACTCAGCTGCTGCAATTGGAACTAGACGTTCAGCCAAGATATCATATACTTCATCCATGCACCTGATAGCAATGACTAAATCGATTCACTAAAAATTATAATAAATAAATAAACAAACAGGAAATGAAAGAGCGTTCAGAATGAGGGCACATTTAGGGACTACCAAAGTGTTAACAAAGAAACCAGGCTCCTATGGAGAGAAGCATCCTTTGGAATAAGAAACTAAACAAGCTTCCTTAACTTCTTAAATCTCTATAAACACTCTTCAGTATGCTCAGAATAAAAGACCAAATCCATTGATATGCCATAACCAACAGCCCAAGTAGGAAAAGATAACTTATATTCTTTCATCCACACAGAATTTCTTAGATGTAAGAAATGGAGAGAGAAAAATAATACCAAATACATAGATTCAGATAAGTTTCAACTTATTTAGAATTCATAAGAGAGATTATACTCCATAAGCACCACACTTATTATGGAAATTCTTAATAAATTTATCAACATCTGCCTGAAGAGACCTTAAAGAGATAACTCATATGACACCAAACGCAAAAGCATGTGTCGTTGTAAAAAAGAAATAGAGAGAGATGCAATTAGTTAACGGTAAAAATCCAGCACTCGACAATAACATTTTTGGCCAATGAAGGCTTCACCATCTAGCCGAAGTGTAATGAAGATAGCTTACCCTGCCTTAATAACAGGAACTTCCTTCAATTGACATCTAAAAACCTGAATCCAACAACAGAGAAAATAAAATAAAAAATAAATAAATAAACATAAAAAGTATAATAGTAGTAATAACAATAATGATGATGACAATCAAATTTGAACTTATGGTACACAAATGAATTGAATGTTTGAAGTTAACATTACAAAATGATCTGCATATGTGTGGTAATTTGAGAGGTCCAAGGAAATTGAAAAACAAAACCTGTAAATGATTTTGTTTCTTATTCGAAGCTCCATTCTGACCCACTAAAGACCTCAATGCCTTCTTTGGCAACAAATGAGCCTGATTCCATTTGGGAAACCATATCTTTTTCAGTAGCAATGCCTCTACATTCAGTACATTGAAATAGATAACAGGTTGGACAAATTTAAAAAAAAAAACATCAAACTAAGCATTAGTTTGACAATTTCTGCACACAAGCATCATACGAACCATCAGAAAAGGCACAGTCATTGAATATCAACCATAATTATCACAGTATATACACCCTTACACAAACAGACGCCAAAATTATCATGTCTTTTGTACAAACACGGTCATCGATTGATAACAAATGAGCCTGAATCCATTTGGGAAATCATGTCTTTTGCAGAAGCAATGCCTCTATATTCAGGACATCAAAGGAAATCACAGTTTGGACAACAATAAGAGAAAAGCATCAAACTAAGCATTAACTTGACAATATGAACAATCAGAAAACGTTGAGAAATTTGCTGCTCGTTACACAGAGAAAGCAGAAGCAGATCATCGAATTCGACCATAATTATCACAATATACACACGCTTACAAATATATACGTCATAATTGAGAATGGAAACTAAGATTTTAGAGCATAATCTTCAAACGCTTAATCATAAATTGATGTTTTTCTTCCGTAAAACTCCGGTACAGTCCAATTATTAGATAGATGATAAAAATAGACTTTCACCTGAGGAAGGCTGCCGGAGGGCTGTGCAGGTAGTTGAAAACGACGAGACCTCCATTTCTGAGCTCAAAATCCGGTGGCGATTGAAGCTTACGAATTACGATAGCAGCTGGAGAAATAAAAACAAATTTTGAAGTTTGCCACCGGCCACGCGGCTGGAGAAATCTATCTATATATATCTATCTATATATATATATATATATATATATATATAAAAAGAGGTTGTTGGAAAATACATTAATAAAAAATTTGACCAAATAAATATAATGTTTGACTTACTATTAATAGAAATTTAAGAAAAACACATGTGAATCTTTAGTAACAAAATCTAAATTCTATTTTTTCGGTAACAAATTTGGAGATTTTTATGGAAACATTTGAATCTCTTGATTTTTCGTTAGCGAACAAGCTTTTGTTTAAATAGACCTGTTTATTTTTCTTTTCCTTCAACCTCTAAAGTAATTTTTCATTCTTCAATTATTTCATGTTTACATCGTTACACTAGAAATAAATTGGCCAAACTGTACAACATAATATTTAATTTATTCGCAATTTGAATGTTTCTTTCTAAAGTTTAGTAATTTGCTGCATGAGGTTTCAATTTTTGAAGATTGAATCATGAGCTCAAAGTATCATAAACCGGACAATGATGTGATGTGATCCATTTTATTTAATTTAAGGGAAAAAAAAAAACTTTGATATTATAAATATCCAATTACTTGGAACAAGAAAATCTTTCACTTTTATTGATTCTAATAATTCCTCCTCGATGAGTGAAACATTTAACGAGGCCACCAAGGAAAATAATTCTAGTACAATAGGGCAAAAGCCACCACCATAAAAGTGTCTGAAAAATCTAAAATGCAATGAACAGTCCAGCCAAAGACGCCCCTAATTGAATTTGAACAACAAATAAAAGTACATACACCCAATAGAACAAACCATCTAATGATCTCATCACAAATTCGAGAAAAAAAAATGCTCTCATTTTCTACAAAGTCCTCGCAATCACTGCACATTTGTGTTTTACAAGCCTTCTACGCTTTTTGTCATCCCCAAATGACTGCAAAGGTTTACAAGACAAGTAAATCTCAAGCACAGACAATAGCTAAAATGGCTTCTTGATTATTACAGTAAGACTTGAATGGTTAAGGTTGGTTAGAAATTTTTACCTGAGGGCTGCAGAAATATGGTATCCGAACCCTTTTGGAGCCATCGGGTAATCTTTTGGAGGGAAGTTGATTATCGACAGAACTAAAGTTACCCATGACCTGCACAGAGTTCATGTTAAGGATTGTAAGTAGGAAGATATGGAGATAAAAAGAAGCTGAAAATTGATAAAGATTGAGCAAGAACTCTAGTGGAAAATTTAGAGGATTGTTATAATTCATTTTACAACTCAATTCAAAGGAAAATATGGGAATGAAAGTTGCAAATTGGCACAATCAGTCCCTTTATTTAAGTTGTAAATGGGAAATTCATCACTGGAAGATTTTAGTGTACATATGCTTACCTGAGTTTCAATGGTCTTGACGAGCATTTGTTCACAATCAGATGCATGTATACTTTCTAGATTGGCACAGTGGAGTAGCAACCTCTCTGGTGTCAAAATGCAGGTGCAAACATTGTTAGAATTATAAGTTTAAAAGAAACACATTGTAGACTTAAATCAATACAGCAGGTTCTCAAAGTACCTGGATTCAGATTCCTACAAGAGTTGAGGTTTATTTCTGTAAGATGAGGACAATTTAAATATAAAGCCTGCATTTGGAAGATTCTCAAATCAGACCACAAAACAAGAACAAATTGATAAATGAGAAAAATCAAGAAGTCTTGAGCAATCTTACATCCAGCCCAGAACAACCCCATAAACTTAGTTTCTTTAGCCGGTTGTGCTTGATAATTAGCTTCTGGTATATAAGGTGCATCTTGCTATTGGGTGTTTTTTGTAATTCCAAGCAATTATCCTCATCATTGGAGGATATTTCAGAATTGGGATCACATATGGTCATTCCACAGTCCATAAGTTCTAGACGAGGAAGCTCGGCAGCAGCAAATTGAATGCCACCTAACAAAACGAGAAGGCATAATAAAAGTTAAAGGCTGATGAGAATATACAGTCACAAGCATACAAATGCATTAATACAGGACATGTGAATTACTTGAAGTGATGTTTGGACAGAGAGAGAGTAGAAGTTTTGATAATGTCTCAGGAAAGACATTGCAGATCATCCCAATGCCACTGTCACTGATGCTAGACCTAATATGAAGCAATGAACCAAGAAGACATTATTCACTGAAAACCAATTGGCAAAACAAGAATATAAATTTCTCAAAAACATTGAGATTGACTGTTTCTAGTTAATAAGAAAACAACATACCCACTGAGATCAAGCAACTCCAGTTTTGGAAAACTTGAACCAATGGCTGCCACTGATGCATCAGTTATCCCTGATCCAAGAACAAGAGAGAGCATTCGCAATCCCCTAATTTTGCAGAAGCGGATAAAAATTGATCAACAAACCAAAAATCATAGAATTGAAAATTCACCAATCACAAAAACAAACATCAACCTCAAATTTGCAGCTGAGAGGGCCAAAACCACATCATGTGAGAGCAAAATTGATGCAATATGTATGTTCTGAAGCTTAGGACAGCTTCTTCCCAATCCATCCATAACTGCTCTAAGGTCAGTGCTATCGTTTTCTTGACGAGAGAAGTCCAAAGAAATCTCTTTTAAATTTGGGCAATTAAAAATCTGCACACATAATATGCAATAAGTTGATTAATAAAAGTATTCAGATATGGTTAAATAGAAGTACTTATGGTTAAGTAAAAGTAGTCAACTCCAACAGGCAATTACCATCTTAGAAAGGGAGTGAAGATCTGAAAGCCAAAGAGTAGAGAGACTTGTTGAAGAAAATACAAAACCCCCAAGGTTACCGCACCCTTCCATCTTGAGACTGGTTAGGCATCTTTTATCGGCAACAAAACGACTCAACTCATCTCTGAAAGAGTTTATAACATTAATTGAACTTCACTCCACAGTACATGCAATTATAGAGTTATCTTGAAATATAGTAAACCCGTTTGCATATGAGGAGGTAAAAGCAGCTTAGTTTGAATACTAATTTGCAATAGGTTTCGACACTAGTCAACAAGGAACATGATCTAGTTAAGTTGGAAAGAATATGTTGAACTTCCCATGAGGGTGCTTATTAGCATATGAACTTTTAGGAAAGTCGTTTTTTTTAATAAATCTTCAAGTTACCTCAAAATAAGATTACTTGTGACACCACCATGATCACAAAATTAACTATCAAACAAATTTCAAGAATATGTCATAACAGCTTCTGTGAAGCAATCAATCACAAGAGCATCATAAACTTCAATTACATGCAAAAAAAAATATATCAATGCATACAAATCACTGATAAAAATCAAAGTGATAAGTACATTGATAAAATAACAATCGCAGATTATAGATCGTTGTCAAAGATTTGAGATCACTACCCAGATATCCGATTAATGGATGAATCACAAGTAAGGATCTCCAGAGACTGCAAAATTGGGCACGAGAAGGCAATACAAGCCAGCATTGTTGCATCAACATCACTGCAAAATAAAATACCAAATCTATTTATAATAAGATAAAAAACATCTTCCCTACAACAATATGACAATATAATCAAATTCCATTAAATTCGTTGATCCTCAAATTAAAGTTCATATATTTAATCATTGAATCCTTTTAATTCCCATCTAATGTTTATTCTAGTGTTCAATTTTGCTTGGATAACCATCCTATATGAGAATGAGCCATGTTTATTAACTGTAGGACTTAAGTTTCATTGTTTTTAAAGAAGACTGCGAATTTGAACTCCCAAGCTTCAGTAATCACCGGATCCAATCCATAGAACCTTAGATCTACCACAAGTCTTCGGAACCCTAACCTTTCAATTCTCAGCGACAGTCTTATCAGCCCAGGGCATTTTTGCAGAATGGACCCAACAAATCCGATCTGCGCCTTCGCGGGAACCCTGAGCTGCAGCTCCTCCGCCGCACGCCAGAGCTTCCTCGTCGCCTCCCTCCATCCTCTGCACACCCCCGCCGCCGACAGCAGCCCTGACGGCGGCACCCTACGCAAAACCTCCCACAAACAGTTCATCGGCAACCCACCCGACTCGTACGGATCCGGATACTCTTCCAGATCGAGCTGCTCCTCGTCCGCCCCATCGATCGACTCGGCCACGCCGGGATCGTCGAACAACAGGGCCCGACGTCGCCTCGCCGGCGGCGGAGGCGTCGCGCAGACCAGCTTCTCCGCTGCCACGGCAGACGAATCGGCGCCGCTGGCCGCCGGCGTGGACACGGGGGTGGCCGCGCCGTCGTCGTTGGAGGCGTAGGGGCACTTGTGGCCTTTCTTCGGCAGTCCGCAGCGGCCGCAGTTGTAGTTGCCCCTCTTCTTGCCGGTTCTGAGGAGGAGATCGGCGTCGGAGATGGGGGTGACGGGGTGGGGCTGGTGGCCCTGCATTAGGCGCGTGGTCGGACGGGTAGAGAGCGAAAAAATGGAGGTGGAGAGAAGGATTTCGGACAAAAGCGGTGGAAAATTTGAGAGCAGAAATTAAAGGGGTTATGGGGAAGGCGCGGGAGAAGGTAGCAGATTTGGCGCCTCAGGTTTTGAAACCATTTTTCTTTTTTCAGGGAGGAGCCATTTTTGGAGCGTTTGCATTTGAGAGGGAGACAAATTATCTATCTATATTATTATTAAGGGCTTTGACTTCGTAGTGAAATAAGCTTTAAGAAAATTATAATTTTCGTGTAGGCTAG